CTATAGATTTATAGGCAGATATGACATTACATAGCTTCCAACTGTAGCTCAAATGGGGGGCATGCCCTTCTCTTTTGTACCAAACCTTTTAATGCAGCCTTTCTTGGTGCTACAAGGGTCAACAAACTGCATGATATCAAGATATGAAGGTGCACCTGAAGTGACAGTGCACCTGATGTGACAGTGCACCACAAACAGGCAGACAGGACAGGTGGTAGGCAAAAAGAATTGACTGAAAGACAATAAGCCAGGGACTAGAAGAGCCCAGTGGTGGTGAAAGATGTCACTTGGCGTAATGCAGATTAGAGACCCAGAGAAGCAATAAAAGACGAAACAGGCATTCCAAGAAAATTTCAGCAGATTAGATGGGAATATGCAATAGCAGAGATCAGAGCTAGATCAGAAGATTGCACAAGAGAAGAGCCTAAAAAGATCAGTACAAGGGCATAAAAGTAATATTAACAGGGTCATAACAAAAAATGTTAGAAGACCAGATCTTCAAAACTGTATGTCATGGTCGCCCACCTGATTCCCCCCCAAACCCCCAACCTGTCCACCATTTCCCACATGCAGATCACATAACCTCTGTGCTGGGTGACAAGGAGGGACCTCCTTCTGAGGGCTTCACAACCTCTTCTCAGCCAAGCACGGAGAAGTCTGCTTCCCCACTGCACCTGCCTGTGGATTCATCACATGCAGGCTACATGTCCGTCACCATGCGTCCCCTTCCCTTGTCTTGGCAGGCATGGTGCGGTACCCATGTTCCTGTGCGCCATGCCCGCTGGAGACAAAGGCCATGCTCCCTGTGTACAGGCCGGAGCTGAGGGGGCAGGGCTTGCTGTCAAGGCAACCTGATGCCAGGACTTGGGTTGCCTGGTAACAAGATCCCGCTCCAGGGATAAATACCGGAGCGGGCACAGGCACCTGGAGTCTCCCGTGCTTGCTCTCTCCCTCACTGTGCTGCCATGCTGTGAGAGGTCCTGTGCTGTGGCCAGATTTCAGAGCCCCCCCCCCCCCCCGTTCTAGGGGCCTGCCTCTGCTACTGACCCCTAGCTCTCTCAACCCCACGTTCTCCTCTGCTGGCTGCTGAGTCCTTTAACCCTTAGCTTACCAGAGTTCTGCTATCCCTGCTATATGCCCAGCCTGTTCTGCAGACTTAACCCTTATGCTGCCAGAGTTCAGCTATCCCTGCTGTTTGCCCAGCCTGTGCTACAGACTTAATCCTTATCCTGCCAGAGTCCTGCCATCCCTGTTGCGTGCCCAGCCTGTGTTATAGATTTATGCCTTATGTTGCCTTGTGCTGAGGACTGAACCCGTGTTGCCCCGGATCACCGCCTACCCTTGCTGTGTGTCTGGACTGTTGCCCTGCATTGTGGACTTGACATGTGCCAGTTTTTTCTGAATTTTGACCCTTGCCCCTTCCCTGCCAGTCTCTGTTTTTTAATAAAAGCCTTGTATGTAATCCTGCTCTCTGCATGTGTTCTGTCCCACCTGCACCTCTGTCACAATGCAGTACCTTCCTTCAAAAGCCTAAATAGAGTGTTTAATTTCTGCACTGAGCTAGGTAAGAAAGCCTTTGTGGTTGTTTCCAGCTGAAGTTTGCTCTGGGAAGGGGGAAAATATAAATTAATAAATATACTGTAAATAACATGAAAAATACCTATTCTGGAGAGGTGGGGCTGTGCTTTCATAAAACTGGAAATAAGAGTGGAGATTTCTTAAATTATTTCCTTTAAAGTGGAAACTCCACCTGTTTGCCTCCTCTCCCCCTCCACTGCTAATTTGGTACCTTTTGGGCAGGAGTGGATACTTAGTTTTGACAGATACCCTACCCTTTCCCACTTCCGGCTCAGTACGCCCCCTCCTTCCTCCCGCAGTCTCCTGGGGACCTTCACAGGTCCCAGGAGACTGCTAGACCAATCAGGATGCGTAGCACAATTTGCACATGCGCAGTGGGCACCCGGCTGTTAAGCCGCAAGCTGTCACAGTCTGGTGCCCACAATTGAGATGCCGGTGCTGGGGAGAGAAGAAGGAGAGAATGGACAGCATACGGGATGAGTACATCACTGGACCCTGAGAGAGGTGAGTGTGTGTTTATTAAAAGTCAGCAGCTACAGTTTTTGTAGCTGCTGACTTTTTATAAACACAAAAACAGCTGGAACTCCATTTTACCATTAAAATACAAAATGTGAAACCACAACTGTATCTGCAAGTCCCTTAAGATGTTCATTGCAAATCAAATACATTATTTTTGCACACATTACCTGCTGGCTGCACTAAAATTAGCACAGGCCCCACACAAGGTAAAAGCAAGAAAAAAGAACAGAGAACAGGGAATGTTAAATTGCTTTGATACCTGGACGAGGAGGGAGGTGAAGTGGTTGAGCTATCTTGAGTCTGCTCTTCAGATCTTCCCATCTTCTTTGATCAACAGTCAGTAAAGCTGTTCCCTGAGAAACATGTGACAGGCATTTTAAACCACAATATTTAAAATAGAGAAAATCTCAATTCAGCACAACTGCACAAAATACAGAGGTTGATAGCAGGAAATGCAGATTCACTAATTATTTATTACAAAGCATTGTAACTATACCCATTGTTAGACTTTTACCTACAAATAGTATTAGTCTCTAACATTTTTTGTTGAAATGGTTATATACTTATAGATCTGTTGTATACATGGTTGCATGCACATTCCTTCATAAAAGTAAGAGTTTGGTACAAATTCTTAATTGTGTCCTTGTGTTTTACACAACACTTCATTTTGCCTTCAGTAACTATTCATTAGTATACTTTGTACTTTTCCATTTGCACAGAAAATAACTTTAACAAGAACATTAAAAATAAATAAATTGCATCTACAAACATGTCTGTAACAGACTTAATAGACTATTAATTAGAGACCACAAGGTGGTCCTTACATAGTCTCCAACTTGGATATAAATGCTTTATCCACACTTGCCAGAATTGAGGGAAGCTGCATAAATATCCTGGATTGGACAAGTCTCAGGGATATTCATAGACCACAAGACCTCAGACTCAAGACACAACTGCAGAGCATTGATGTCCAAGTTATAGATTCTGCAAGGGCAACACTGTAAACATCTAATTATCTGATAAGACTTCTACAGACATTGTGTTTGTAAGTACAATTTGTTTCCTATTTATGTCTTTAATAAAATGATTATCTGGTGCACTCAGTCTGTTTGTGTTCAAGTTGTTGTATATAGTCTATGGCTATTGTCAATGGATATACAGTAGGGTAAATGCATCTACAACAACTTTCAATTGCTTACTATGAAAAAAATTACTTTGCAAACACTTAACACCACTGAGTTTTCTATTTCAATCTCAGTTCACCTTCTTTCATAGATTTGTAACAAGTACCATCAATATTTTGTCATTTCTCTTTCAAGCTTTTCTCACTGAAATGTTAATGCTTGATGAAATGCACTTCATGGATTGTAGCAAACAATAACAAGAAAAAAAGAACAAGCAACATGATTATATAATCTAAATATACTGGGATTTTTAAGGTGACTGAATGATTTTGAGAGAAGGTAGAAGGGGTAAGTAAGTTTTAAATGGTGATATTAGACCTAAATACCCATATATAGCAGACTATGGTGTCCGTTTATGAACCAGCGGTAAATGATCGCTGCTCAGTTCTCCAGAATTCTCAGAGAACACAGTTCTCCTGTGAATGCCTTTTATGAAGCGGTGTAGATCAGTTCTCCGAATGAAGGGAGAAAGGTCTACAAACGCTGGAAAACGGCTGCTATTACTATAATCTCACGAGATTACAATAAGAGATCAGTTTACTAAGCAGAGGTAAATAATCGCTGCTTAGTTTGCGGTTCCTCCGATTCTCCAGCTCTGGGCTGGAGAATCTGGAGGGAGAACACAGATCTCCAGTGAAGGGCTGAACATGTTGTCTGCTGATCTCCTGAGTGTCATAAACTGTGAATGACCAGAGAATAGCTGCGATCCTCTGAATCGCAGCTATTCTCTGTGTCATAAGCGGACACCTATGTAGGAATATATGAGAGAAAAATGATCATATCCAAATTATTTTTCAGAAAGTAAAGCAGTTCACTCTGAAAAAAAAATTACTTCCATGGCCACAGTTGTATATAAATCAAGCACCTAGGCATGCAGACTGCTTCTACAAACATTTGTGAAAGAATGGGTCGCTCTGAGGAGCTCAGTGAATTCAAGCGTGGTTCTGTGATAGGTTGCCACCTGTGCATTAAAGCGGAGTTCCACCCAAAAGGGGAAGTTCTGCTTTAAAGATTGGTCCACCGCTCCCCATTAAGGATTGTCACCTTTGGGGTACCTGAATTTGACAGGTAATTTGATAGGTACCAGCTCCCACTTCCGCTGCGGTCGCCTAGGCGAAATGGAAGTTGTCCTCCTAACCTCCCTCCCTGAAGTCTTGTAGGACATGTGACAGGTCCCAGAAGATGACGGGGCCATTTAGGAAGCGCAGTGCTACTCGCGCATGCACAGTGGATACCCGGCTGTGAAGCCGCAAGCTGTCACATCCGGGTGCCTACACCGAGATGCCAGTGCCTGGAATACAGGATGGCCGGTGAAACGGGCTGTGGCGGGGGCAACTCTGGATCGTGGGACAGGTGAGTGGCTATTTTTTTAAAAGTCAGCATCTACAGTTTTTGTAGCTGCTGACTTTTTTTTTTACAGAGTGAGTGGAACTCCGCTTTAAGTCCATCCATGAAATTTACTTGCTGCTAAATGTTCTATGGTCAACAAAGTGGAAGCAACTGGAAACAACAGCAACTTAGCCACAAAGTGGTAGGCCACATAAAATGACAGAGCGGGGTCAGTGTATGCTAAAGTGCACAGTGCACAGAAATTGCCAACTGTCTGCAGAGTCAATAGCTAAAGACTTCCAAACTTTGTGTGGCCTTCAGATTAGCACAGTGCATAGAGAGCTTCATGGAATGGGTTTCCATAACCAAAGAGCTGCATCCAAGCCTTACATCACCAAGTGCAATGCAAAGTGTCGGATGCAGTGTTGTAAAGCATGCCACCACTGGACTCTAGAGCAGTAGAAACTTATTTTCTGGAGTGATGAATCTTGCTTTTCTGTCTGGCAATCCGATGGACATGTCTGGGTTTGGCGGTTGCCAGGAGAACGGTACTTGCCTGACTTCATTGTGCCGAGTGTAAAGTTTGGTGGAGGGGGGATTATGGTGTGAGGTTCATGTGCGTGTAAAGGCAGGCGTCCCAATACTTTTGGCAATATAGTATATACAATATGCACCTGGTCATTGTGGAATTGTAGATTTGGGTATGGGGGAGGTTTAGCTAAAACTATGGCACACAATCTGAACTATACATTTATTTTTCTTAAACAATTATAAAAAACTTTATTTCAGTAGTTTGTGCGGTTCACAGTTGGTAACTGTAAATCAGTCATTTTGACAAATTCACTTCTATGGGGTTGTGGAGACTCAGTTTTCAAATATATGGTTAAAGTATATTTCCACTTTTGCATTTAAATTTCATAAAACCCACACTATGTATTTGATATGTATTCTCAGTCACAAAACATACCTAAAAATTTTTTAAAAATATATATATTTCTTACATTTTAGATGTTTCTAAGGAGATAGGTATCATGGCTGATTCTAGTAAGAATTTCTGGACAGTCTCACTTTGTCCTCACACTATCCCTCACTAAAGTGGTATTAAGCCCAGAACCAAAAATGTAATATATTGAAGCTTACCAGTCATTAGATGTGTTGGCTGCATTATTTTTTTATTTTTAGGCTTTTTTTCCCCTCTGTTTTCACCTGATGATTTGGCCAGTAGCACACCTACTATATAAGGCTGCATTCACACTTGAGTGTTTTGTAGCTTGAAGCTCGAAGCTCCAAAAAAGCTCAAACTTAAAAAATTAATTGTTCTCTATGGGGCCTGCTTGCATGATTAGGTTTGAACAGGCACCATAGAGAACAATTCATTTTTTAAGTTTGAGCATTTTTGGATATTCAAGCTACAAAACACTCAAGTGTGAATGCAGCCTTAGAGTGCCTACACTTTGGATGAAGGTGCAATAGAGACAACTTTGGACAGCAGCATTGTCAGTCTGGGGAGAGGGGAGTGTTAGCTGTACTACCAGATTTAAATACACTGACAAATTAAAGCCAAACTCCAGTTAACACTTTTTTAAAGCAGGTACAGTAACAGTTCTGTTCCGTTTGGGATAAAAATGTTACATAAATTAATAAGCTGATCATTGCAAGCACCCTTGTCAGTGTTAAATGGTTTGTTTCAACCCTCTAACTGCTATATCTGTTTGTTTAAAAAAACAAAAAAAAAAACAGACTTGGGTTCTGTGCATACTGGCTTAAAAGCATTTTGCCTGTGGAAGCAAGTAATGGTATCCTATGTGTCCATGCATGTTAGGTAGTCTAGAGGCGTTTTTTAAGCTAAGCGTTTAGAGGAGTTTTGCTTTTTTATGGCAGAAAAAATACATTAAATGCTTCAAAATGCTAACACAAAAAACACTAAACAGATTTTTTTTCTATCAAGAACACTGGTATGTTTTAAGCTATGATGTATGGGCCTTACTGGCTAGATCACCAGATGAAAATAAAAGAAAGAAAGCCTGACAAAGAAAATGAATGTAGCCATCACATCTAAGAACTGGTAAGCTGCAATATAATAAAATGTTTGCTTTTGGGTTGAATACCGATTCAACATACAATGTATGAGTTTCTAAATTTGTAACCCTTTGTTAGGAAAACAGTGTTTTAAACCAGTTTACAGCTTATAGTGAAGGAGTGTGCCCGCCCTAACCGCACCACCGATCGCGGACGCGGGTGTCAATCACCGGGTCCCGGCCAGTCATTACCCGCCGGGTCCTGACGATTACTGGCAATTACTGATGGGGAGCACGGCTGCAGTGTTTTAAGTTCATTTAAGTGACATTTTTTTTTTACACAAAATTGTCACTTAAATGATTTATTGCTCACACATGCCATGGGTATATGTGGAATTACCCCCCAAAATACATTCTGCTACTTCTCCCCAGTATGGGGGTACCACATATGAGAGACGTTTTGGCAGTCTAGTCAAGCACAGGACCCCAAAATCCAATAAGCACCTTCAGGCTTTTAAAGGACTTTATTTCCTCATTACACTTCCTGACTACCTATCACAGTTTCGGAGGCCCTGAAATGCCAGGATAGCACCTAACCCCCCCCCAAATGACCCCTTTTTGGAAAGTAGACGCCCCAAGGAATTTGATAAGAAGCATGGTAAGTATTTTTCAGGTTTCACCATGCCTCTTTTTAAATTCCTTGGGGTGTCTACTTTCCATTTGGGGGTGGGGTTGGTGCTATCCTGGCATTTCAGGGCCTTTGAAACTGTGATAGGTAGTGAGGAAGTGAAATGAGGAAGTTACGCACCTTCAGGCTTTCAAAGTGGTCATTGGATTTCAGGCTCCAGTATGTGGCTAGGCTCCCAAAAAGTCTCACACACATGTGGTATCCCCATACTCTGTAGAAGTAGCAGAATGTATTTTGGGGTGTAATTCCACATATACCCATGGCTTGTGCGAGAAATAAATCATTTAATTGACAACTTTGTGTAAAAAAAAAAAAAAAGTTTTTGTTATTTTCCAGAAACTTGTGGAGTGAAAAAAAGTAAATCTTCCATGGACTCAATATGCCTCTCAGCAGATAGCTTAGGGTATCTACTTTCCAAAAAGGGGTAATTTGAGGGTGTTTGTACTATCCTGGTATTTTAGCACCTCAAGAAATGTGATGAGCAGTCAGAAAGTAAAAGCTGTGTAAATTCCATTATCTATATCATAGTTTGTAGACGCTATAACTTTCACACAAAGCAATAAATATACACTTACTGGGATTTTTTAAACCAAAAACATGTAGCAGAATATATTTTGGCCTAAATTTATGACGAAATTTTAGTTTTTTTGGATATTTTTTATGACCGAAATGAGAAAATATTGTTCTTTTCAAAAAAATTTTTTTTCTTCAAAAATGTTTTTGTTTATAGCGCCAAAAATAAAAAGTGCACAGGTGATCAAATACCACCAAAAGAAAGCTCTATTTGTGTGAAAAAAGGACATACATTTCATTTATGTACCGTATTGCATGACCGCGCAATTGTCCGTTAAACTAGCGCAGTGCTGTATAGCAAAAAAATGGCATAATTGCAATATCTATACCATAGTTTGTAGACGCTATAACTTTCACACAAATCAATCAATATACACTTATTGGGATTTTTTTTACCAAAAACATGTAGCAGAATACATTTTGGCCTAAATATATAACTAACTTTGAGTTTACTATATATTTTTTATAGCTGAAAGTAAAAAATATAGTTTTTCTTCAAAATTTGTGGTCTTTTTTTGTTTATAGCGTGAAAAATAAAAAGCGCACAGGTGATCAAATACCACCAAAAGAAAGCTCTATTTGTGTGAAAAAAGGACGTAAATTTTGTTTGGGTGCAGCATTGCATGACCGCGCAATTATCAGTTGAATTAGTGCAGCGCCGAGTAGCAAAAAGAGGCCTGGTCATTAAGGGGGGTAAATCCTCAGGAAGGCAAGTGGTTAATGTTTCCTGTTTGCAGAGAAGCAGTTGATAAACACATGTGGACTGTACATTGTTCATTCTGTAGAGCTATATACAGAACCTCTAACAGGTTACTGGCCCAGAGACGCAGTCATAGCCTGCTACAGCAAACGAGTGCAAGATACAGCAATAGAAAGAATACTGCAACAGAATAAAAGAAAAATGGCCAATAACAGAGTTGCAACAAAGCTTTCATTTGCAAATCTCACAAACCAGAACTACCAGTCTTGGAAATGAAGTTAGGCCAGAACACCCTTCAGATGAGTTAATAGAGAAAGACCAGAAAACTCAGAGCACAATTTCTCTTAGCATAGAAGATGATCAAATCATACATATATGTATGTCGAAAACTGCTAAAGAAATGTGGAAAATATTACAAAAGGTGCAAGAAAGAGATAATCTTAGTAATAAACTATATTTCGTTAGAAAGCTATACCAAACCAAGCTGATGTAAGGCCAGTATATCCAGGATTACACAAGGCACACCTTGGAAATGGTTGAATGCCTGAGAAGCATAGGGAAGTTATGAAATTCTTGTCACAGCACTTGATGCACATCAAGATAATGAACATACATTGGAATATGTTAAGGGCAAACTTGTGGTTGAATATAGATGGAAAACAGAAAGCATTAATAGTGACTATACTTCTGTCGCACAGTCTGCTTTAAAGACAAAATAGGAATAAAAACAGGAATATGCAACATGAAACACGTGAATGCTTTGTGTGCAAGAAACAAGGTCATTTAAAAGCAGATTGCAGAAGCTGGAAAGCTAGAATGCAAAAACAAACTAAACTACAAAAGGCCAAAAGTGTGAAGGAAGAAACTGATTTGTCTTCAGATAATGAATGTGTTTTTTAATCCAAACATTGCACTTCACATGACAAGTTACATTTTTTTTTTCACCTTGACCAGAATAAAACCGAAAAAACTCACTACAGCTAATGGGCAAATAATGGAATCAGAAGGAATAGGAGACAGTTTTTTTTTACTATTTCCCAGAGTGTTACCAGAAAGTGACAGTGAGTGAAATACCTCTGAAAAATGTCCTGTATGTCCCTGCTCTTGAAACTTATCTTTTGTCAATGAAGAAGCTCACCAAACAAGGCAATGCAGTGACCTTCCAAGGTGACAGTTGTGCCATCACAAAAGCAGCTATCTTACTTGCAAAGGCTAAAATTACAGATTTACTGTATCAGCTGAACTGCAATGAGGTGGTTAATACTGCCATGGAAGAAAAAACATTCAAACTGCATTCACACATGGCATAAACGACTTGGGCACAGAAGTCCTGACATAATAAAGTAATTAACTGAGATTGTGTATGCAAGTGGAATAAAAATTAGACCATGTGATCAAACAATGAAATGAACCAGCTGTATAAAAGGAAAAATGACAAGAAAACCTTTCCAAAGCAGAGTAACAGCAGAGCTGTTTCCAGAACCTCAGGACTTAATTCATTCAAATCTTTGAGGTCCAATGGAAAAGTTGACTTCAGGAAAGAAGAGGTATTTTCTCACTTTTATTGATGATTACTCCAGGCATACTACATTACAGTTTATCTATTACACAACAAAAGTGAAGT